AATTAATAAATAAATGCGCACTTATTTTTGATAAAAAAAATTAATACGACATTATTTAATAAAATTACATAAAAACAAATTATGTAATAAAACTAAGTACATAGTTTACATTTAATTGTATTATTTTTAAATTTAAATGTTTTTTTTAATTTTCTGTGATAATGAGATTTGGTTTGTTTTCATTTATTACTTTCTTATTTTAATTACAATTTTAGGTTATACATATATGATTAATCTATATTGTCAGTTAAATTTATTTGTTAACCGACTTTAAAAAAGGAGAAGGATCTCAATTCGACTGTATTTTTTTGTATGTGTGTTACCGGCGGAGTTATCGGCAATTTGTGAACTGATCATAGATTTAGTATATAGGTACCCAAAATCTATGGAACCGATTATGACGATTCGTTTTTGCTGGAAAGAGGGTACCTCAGTATTGGTCACATTTAAATTTGAAGAAAATATTCCACTTCTATGGGTGGTAAACTAGGGGATGAATCCGGTTTCGCGCTCTTTCCGGTAACCGATTTCAATAAAACTTGGCAAATTGTTGTAATTTCACGAACTTCCGAGGTAGGTATTTTTTACAAAAAGTTAGTTTTTTACGTATTTGATTTAAATTTTTAATATTATAATTGCTTATGGATTTAATTAGTTCGAATCAAACGATTTAATGTGATACGATAAATATGTTACTGTTTTCATCGTCATGTACGCACCTGCACCTGATCTTTACGTTTTGGAGAAAAGAATACATTAGCGAAATGCGCCAACAAACCGCAAATACAAGTAACAAGGCATAAAGTGACATAAGTACGTATTTAAATATTGACAAATTATTAATATCGGGTACTAAGGTTTTCGCGATTGTTACACCATAGGAAATAAAACTATTTTTCCGGATTTAAATAGCATATATTTGTTTTTTCAAAACTAAATTATTAATATTCAATTATTTTTATATTTCAAAAGGGAACCTTCTTAAACAAGCTCCACTTATAATTCGATATACCTACAATAGAATAATTATTCACTCATAATTCGACTTTATTTTTATTTTATAGATTTATTTTATTTAATAGACTCCGACGTAATTAGACAATATTTTTCGACAAAATATTTTTTTGACATCGTTAAAAAAAGCCTTTCGGATAGTATATACCGATAATGTAAATTTCTGAACGAATGCTCAACGTCAAAATACAAACGTCATAAGTTCGAGAAAAAAAAAATGTAGAATACGAGTCTGGGATGGTCTGGGAGTTCGACACGCTTTCGTTTTTATTTTCCTACAATAAATACTTATAATTACGATATTAGATTACACATTAACAATTACTGTTGTAAAAACTAAAATTAATAAAGGAAAACCAAGAAAATGGCTACAATTCTGGAGAAAATCGCCGCTATTGAATCCGAGGTCTGTATTTAAGGTTATAACAGAAAAATCTGTATCCTAGACAAAATCAATTTAAATTGTTATTTATAACTGTATTAGATTGTATTATATTTTATTTAATTTTTCGTGTCTCGACGTTTAACAAGTTTATTTTGATTTCTATCAGCATAACCTTTAGGATTTACAAAATGGTTTTCAGATGGCTCGGACCCAAAAGAATAAAGCAACAGCGCTTCATTTAGGTCTTCTGAAGGCTCGATTAGCTAAATTAAGACGAGAACTCATAACACCGAAGGGTGGCGGCGGAGCCACTGGCGAAGGTAGATTATTACCATTAGTATTACCAGACAAAGCTGATGAAAAATCGGTCTATTCAAGTTACTTAAATTAATTCTTAAGGCCGTCCACTGAACATTTAGTCATGTTCTTGATTCTGTGTAATATGAGTAAGTACCTACAATTAAATTTTCAATCGAAAACGTTGCCATCTGTTTAAATTCTGAATTCATACAATTCGTGATTTATTAGCAGTTAGTACAAAATTGTGTCTGGCATGTTACCATTAAGCACATTAAGATAGTGTTACTTTAGTACCTACCTATCATGATTACATATTGTTAGTACATTCTTCAACAAATATAACAATTATAATATACGCATTTTATTACACATACACAGCAAATACAAAACACACATGCCCTATGTGTGTGCCTCTTAGCAATACTTAAAATTTGTTTGCGGTCCGCCTAAACAACCATAACGGTTCTTTGTCTTTGTGTAAACAGCTGACACGCTCCAGTTTTTAATAAGGTATTAAAATATAAGTATTAAGTATTACTTTTCTTACATATGTAATTGTACGCATAATTAATTAACTGTTGATTAATGTAAGTGATATGGTGTATGTGTGCAATGTGAAATAAAAATGTGACATTGTTGATACACTGGTCAAGTCATTTTGAAAGCTGATTTTCAGATATAGGAATAGTCACAAGTTTACCTGAATACAAATGTTTATAAAGTATACTTTAAAGAATACTTTCATGGTAAATGGTAGAATTACTCAAACGGAATATATTACCATATTTACCAAGTATGTCAAAAATTTCATTTTTTGCTTTTTAAGTATAGGGATATCGCTTGAGCAATTTATATAGTTCTCTAAAATAATGTTTAGTACTATATAACTGACTACATTTATTAGTCTATATTATATACTATATAACACGAGCAGTGCGTGTTGCCAGCAATTACCTACAGCTCTGAGACATGGTCACTTATTATAGGCCTCATAAAAAGACTCAACGTCACTCAACAAGCTATGGAGTGAGCAATGCTCGGCATTTCTCTACGTGATCGCATCAGAAATGAGGAGATCTGTAGAAGAACAAAAGTCACCGACATAGCTCAAAGGATTAGCAAGTTGAAGTGGCATTGAGCAGGGCACATCGCTCTAAGAACTGACTGTCGTTGGGGCAGAAAGTTTCTCGAATGGAGACCATGAACCGGAAGGCGCTCAGTAGGAAAGCCCCCTACTAAATGGACGGATGACTTGGTAAGGGCAGTGGGTAACCAATGGATGTATGCAGTGTCCGATCAACTAGTCTGGAAATCTTTGGGGGAGGCCTATGTTTAGCAGTGGACGTCTTTCGGCTGATATGATGATGTTGGTGACTATATAACTGTTACAAGTGAGTTTTCTCTACCATTTCTAGGTTTCGATGTGGCGAAAACCGGTGATGCCCGTATTGGCTTTGTAGGCTTTCCTTCTGTGGGCAAGTCAACACTGCTATCTAATTTAGCTGGAGTATACTCTGAAGTGGCAGCATACGAGTTCACAACCCTCACCACTGTGCCTGGTTGCATTAAATATAAAGGTGCTAAGATACAGGTATGAAATAATAATATTATAACCTACTACTGAATATTATTTAGGTATGAAATGCATGTTTGGCTAGGAAGTTTATTTCCATTTTCTTATGTATTTTTAATAACCTGAATATTGAATTTTAATAGAAACAAATTTGTTGTTGATTATGTATGTATATAAATTTATTTTGTCTTTTATAGTTAAGATTCATCTTAGATACTTACTTTGATTGTAAGTTAAGTTTATAACATTACTCTACACCCAGGTCTTCCTAAGCTAGTTATTATCTCACCTTGAAGACTATGAGTTCAAAGTTTCTGCCGTAAACAAATACACACAAACAGTGTTTTTTAAGGGGATTAAAAGTAATTTAGATAACATTACAAACAATCCAACAAACCAACTGTTACATATTTCAGCTGCTTGATCTACCAGGAATCATCGAAGGCGCTAAAGACGGCAAAGGTCGTGGTCGACAGGTGATAGCTGTTGCCAGAACTTGCAGTCTCATATTCATAGTTCTGGACGTATTGAAACCGCTCCAGCATAAGAAACTGCTCGAACACGAGTTAGAAGGCTTTGGTCTACGGTTAAACAAACAGCCTCCAAACATACACTTTAGGAAAAAAGATAAGGGCGGGATTAATTTGAATACTACGGTAAGAAAAAACTGAAATTTTCAGTCAAACTAAATAATTTTTTTAAATTTCAGAGAGAAACATTAGAACAACAGAAGTTTACAATTTTATGCTTGTTTTCACATTCGTCAGAAATTTCTATGACCGTCTTTTTTTACCTGTTGTTCAAATGCGAAAGCATGCAATTAATAGTGTTTTATACTCATTGGCGCCTAATACATCATGTGTCTGGATGCCTCGTGTAAACATTAACAAGTGTATGAAAACCTTTGATGTGGTCAGTAAGTACTTGCAAAAAAATTTACCTGACCAGTGAATGATTCTGATAAGACCTTCAATTTATAAAAATAATTTATATTTCTTACAGTGCCCACAATCTGAATTAGACATAGAGACAGTGAAGACAATCCTGTCAGAGTACAAGATTCACAATGCTGATATCACACTACGCTACGATGCCAACAGCGACGATTTAATTGATGTCATTGAAGGCAACAGAATTTACGTGCCTTGCATTTATCTACTTAATAAGATTGGTACGTTGGTAAAGCAAACCACATAATGTTAATTTGACCTTCATTATCATACTAATTCATTTGTAATAGGGAAAACGCACTTGTTTTAACAGTCTAGAGTGGTCATGTTACTTGCTACTAGAAGTGGTCATTATTACAATAGCAGATAATGTTGTGCATTATTCTTACACAATTTGTAATTAATTATCGAATAATTATCTAAACTGCTGCTGTTATACTGCTATCCTGCTTTTGCGACTGCATAGCTTGAACTGACAAGTAGGCAATAATAGCCAATAGCAGTTTGAGAGAAATGTCGTTATTGAAATGATTGGACGATGCTACGATTCGAGATCTTATGATTATAATCTTTCAGTGCACTACATCAAGTTCTTTTGCTCATTTTATATTTTGTTGTTATCGATTATCTTACTGTTATAAGTAACATATTTGAAACTACAACTTTGCCTTTTACTATTGGAATTATGTCGATTTTAATATTTGATATCGACAGACATTCAATCAATTTAAACTGTAGCAGTAGAGCTCCTTATTAAAAGTACAGACTCGGTTTCATTACTATTTATTATATTGTATTTATTGATGCAATGGTGCCATATCTATTAATATAAGACTCGCCAGCAAAAGGTGATTTTTTCCTGGCATTTCTTACCTTTTTTTTATATGTATACTCTGTGCATAGTTGCCAGTTACATCTGTCAAGTAATAACGCCAATATTAATTTATTCTTTACAGATCAAATCAGCATAGAGGAACTGGATGTTATTTATAAAATACCCCATTGTGTGCCAATCTCTGCACATCACAAATGGAACTTTGACGACTTGTTGGAAAAGATGTGGGAGTACCTCAAACTCATCCGGATATATACCAAGCCCAAAGGACAGCTACCTGATTACAATGCACCCGTAGTACTACATGCTGATAGAACTAGTGTTGAAGATTTCTGCAACAAATTGCATAGGTCCATTGTTAAGGAGTTTAAATAGTAAGTACCAGTTCTATAATATTTTTGTTGCATTTTTAGGAACAATGTGCAACTTCGAAAAATTAAATGTCTAATGACTACATACCAAGCACATACAGGACTTCACACGGCTATGGGGCACGGAGGGAACGTATTTTAAATATTTTTTGGATAGGATCTTTTGCTTAAAGAGACATCGTTTTTATTTTTAAGAGTATAATGTTGCATTCAAATTCATTTGGGAATTGAACTAACTAAATGTGAAAAAAAATCCTGTATGATTATGATTCTGGGCAGAGAGAGAATACAGAATGTATATTCTGCCACAAGGCGGATGAAACTCCTGTTCATGTACTCACCCATGGCTACCCCGTGATGAGCATACGAAGTTCCATACTGGGAAGGCACATGCCACAACCAGAGGACATTAAATCTGTCAGAGCCAGGAAAGTTCATCAATGCTGTCGGCCTTGGCTCTGCGTTGTAATTAGTGCTGATCGCAATAGATCAGTCAATGGTCGTGTCAATCAATCAGTGATGAGGGGATGCATAGGCCCTGAATAAAGCCACCCTAATAATAATAATAATAGATAGTCTAAAATAGATTAATAATAATAATAATGATTCTGTTCAAAAGGGTCAACTATAAGGATTAATTCCTTTTAAATAACATGGTATTTTAAATTAAAGAAAATCCATAAAATTTTACATTTAATTCAGGAAAATGATTGTGCTTGTTGTATACAAGAAGGTGGATCACATTTTGAACATTTGAAAAATTAATTGTAAATACCATAGACATATTGTTTCAATTTGATTTCTTTTGAAATAAATTGTATAATTAAACTGTGTTCCTTTAAATTAAGATACTATGTTACTTATAAGAAATTAATCCTTGACCTTTTTGAGCGTCTGAAAAACAGGATACTTTTCACATATCGTTGGATTGAGTTCGAGGTGAGGCTAGCAATCAAAGACTTTGAATGCAGTATAACTTACTTTTAAAAATAAAATAATGTCTCCGTGAAGCACAATATCTACAATAATTAAAATACTTCCGCTCTGTGTTCCATAGCTGTTGGATTCTCTGTATATACTTTGGTAGATATCATGACAGTTCCCATACATAAATAAACAAACCATTTGAGATGTTTTAACTTTTTTCTCCAGTGCCTTGGTGTGGGGATCGTCGGTGAAGCATCAACCGCAGAAAGTGGGTATCGAACATGTATTAGCCGATGAAGATGTGGTTCAAATTGTCAAGAAAGTCTAATGTTGTGTATGGAATAGAAATAATTTATTTTGTAAAGCACAATGCATTGCAGTATGACAGTAGTAGATAGTTAAAAATACATATTCACATTGTTTGAGCATCTGAAAACCAGCGTCCCGATATCAGGTGAGACTGAAAATCATTTGAACATGATTGATTGTGGTGAATGACATCATATTGTCCCCTTTATACGAATGTTATTTGATTCTTACTTTCATAGTTTTATGTTCTGATGTAAATAAGTTCATCAAAGTTATGACATAACATAAACCGTAATGGTTTTGTAACGATACGAGTTGATAACTGATTGTTTCTCATTTATTCCGTATGGTTAACTGACACTGCAGGGTGGAATCATGAAGTTGTGATTTTCATTTACTTTGGTACGCGTTTCTTGAAACGCCTTCGCTTTTCCTGATTCCTACTTGTATTTGCTATGAATACCATTAAACGATTTTCCCTTTAAAAGCTATTTTATTCTCACTTTGACATACAACTCACTTTTCAAGTCTGATTTTAAGGCCTGTGCGCATTCTGTAGCACTGTGAATTCCACTGCTGTCTTGTTTTTCTTAAAATAATTACTCATTATGTCACTCCAAAACTTTACTTGTTGATATAAAAGACAGATCTGTTATTTTTGTATAATCTATTCTTCCATAGCATAGGGGAAGTAAGTAACCACTCGTCCTACTCTACTACACTCTATCTAAAATTTCTTTTCTTTGTGTTCTTTACTGTTAACCCTACCTTACTTAATGTTAACTATTAACAGTGTGTTTAATTATATGATTCCGAAGAAACACAATATGACATGTTGACAGTCAAAAAATAAGCTTTTGCCACAAATGCTATGCTTAACAGCGTGATCACGGTCGCAATACATGCTATCTCGTACTAATTGCTTGGGCAATGCCGGCATTGCCCAATGTATCACCATCGCCTGAACTCGAATCGTTGATTTCTTTATTTGGAGTTACGCATAGGTACGTAAACTTAATCATGGGGCAAGTTCGCTATCGTGGTGAAATTTGCCAATCAACGTGAGGTCCTCGCTTGTTAACCAGAGTGTACAACAATTAGCTAAGTCCTCGGTCAGCTGGATCTGTGCAAGGCGATGAAGGCGACGAGGTGATGCGGCTGTGGTACATAACGTTTACGCAGTTAAGAGTGCGATAATCTTAAGCTATTTTATGTACCTACACAGATAGGCTGTTGTGATATCCCTTTGTCGTTTTTTTCTCGTCAAGAAAATGGTTTTCAGATGCTCAAACTGTATGCCGAAGCATAAAATATCCTTTTAAAGATTTGATTTTATTGAACAACAGTTATTATGAGCTCATAATTTGAATTACAATAAACAGGTGTATTGCTTAAGAGTAGAATAATAATAAGTTATAGGTATTTGCTCGATGCACTTTTGTTTTTTTTTACTCAATATATTTTTATTCAACTCTAAATAATAATGACTGCAGTGAAAATAACGTGGGATGTTTTACTCTGAAATAAATCCTCTCCTAATAAATTGCAAACTGCTTCAATATGTGTTTTATTAAAGAAAACCTAATAATAAGTACAGTTCACACACTTTATTAAGGCGCTTAGTCTTAACACAGCCTTCCCGGTTTCTCTGCACAGGTAACTGTACGGCATACCATAAGGTACAGAAAACCACCGTGGCTGCTATGTTCGATATGGCGCTGCGCAAACATTTAGCCAAAAACCTAAAATTCCCAAAATACAGTTTTTTGTCAAAAATCTGGTTATTTAATTTTTTTACTTTAATTACATAGCATCAACCCTTCATGACATGAAAATTATGAAATAACTATATGAGAACAGGCGCTTGTCGCTTTTTCCATCAAAACAAGGACAGATATTAAATATTGTATGAAGAGGCTGTATGGTGGAACCTTTACCTAGCCAAGTAAATGGGTGAAAATTAAAAAAAAAATCAAGCTCGTTGAGGTTATGTTCTTATCGTTACATTATTTTAAGTCTCCGATATTATAATGCTATTATCAATATAACGATTATTGTAATAATTAAGCGGCAAAATAAGTTTAGTGGCTCATTAAATTCACAGGATAAATAGTTAGAAAATATATAACGGTGCAATATTTTTAGCGGCAAAGCGAGTGACCAATACACAAATAGGTAAAATATATATAAAGTAGCACGAAATGTCTGTGTTCGAAAATTTATCTAACGTACAGGTAAATAATAATGTGATTGAATCAATTGTGTAGGTATCAAAATAGTCGATAAAAAAAACGATGTTTTGTAATTTACAACCAATGATAATATACTTGTATATGCTCACTGTTTATAACAATACGCTTTAGTGCTGTCATCTTTTTTAATCTTCACTTACTATAAAGCTATTTTACTAAACCAAGAGGTACTTATAACAGCCGTTAGATGTCGCATTTCGAAATGTAAAACTGCAGTGTTATCGCTGTATCAACAGAAACCGCTGGATGGCGCTGTAATTGTATATTTTTATTTTTTAAGAAAATTCGCGCCGCTATCTACCGAGATGTGAAGGCTATAAGTTCAGAAACTCTACATTTTTTGGGTCTAGAGATGACTAAGTCAGCCACGGACGTAACGGCTGAGTTAGTCTATAAGAAGTTATTGATGTATGGTGCTGATTTGGAAGCGTTCTCAAAGTTAGTACCTAACTACTGTATTAATTAATGTGTTACTTGCCCTCTACTGAAAAGAAGTTCATCTTGAGCGCACTTCTATTGAGATTAGTGTATTAAGAATTATTAAAATATTGATTCAAGATACTAAAGGTAAAATTACCATTTACAGGCATGCGAAACGTAGCGTGATAAATGTAGAGGATGTTAAACTATTAGTGAGACGAAATCCTTCCTTGGTAAGTTAAAATTTCCGTAACTACATAATTATTGAATCTATTTGTTTTGCAATGTTTTATTTTATTATGTATACGTAATACTTCGTTTTATTGTCCATACGTAATAATAACAAACTTTATGAGCAACAAAAAATAAAAAAGTTTTTGAATATGTTAACAAAATACCTCTCAGTTGATTTTAGACCATTATAAAATTGTATCGCCTGGAATAATAGATGCGGGCAAGTGTTATATTGTGCTTATTTATAAATTTCAAGTCGATGCAAAGAGTAGGTGTTGACAAAAACAAAAGATAAACGGAAAGTTTTAGAAGCAGTAGAGCTCCTTGCAAAAGATTTCGTCTAGGGAACTACTGCTACCTTACCTACTTCTGCCGCGCAGCAGCTCAGAAATGTTAGCAATATTCGTTCTGGTTTTGAAGGGTAAGGTGCTGGTGAAGTTACAGGCTCATGAGACTTGTCAACTTATATCTCAGGGTGACAGACACAGTTGACAATGCCCCTCAGATCTTTGCGAATTATATAGCTCTGCTCTTGCCACTGCAACTCTGCCGTCGTCAGTTGAAAGGGCGCGAGACGTGACATTTAAAAAAAAATGTTGTGTATACTGCCGTGATCAGTAAAAAAAGGCCGATTGATAACTATTTTTATTTTCTAGGTGGATAAGGTTTGACCTTACGGTAAGAGGAAAGCAGATATTTTTTAAATTTAATTTTTTAGACATATTTTTTTGGTTTTGAGTTTTTATTACAAGCGTCCTTTCAACCGACGAACGTGGTAGAACTGCTATGCTTTAATTTCGTTAGTAAAAAAATAAATTCTGTAAAGGAGGGAATTTCTTTTACCGTGGCATGAGGTTACCAATACAGCCAAGTGAAAACTCCAAATTCTTGTTCAGAAGATTTATTTTTCACCTTGTATGTCGCCAATACACTTTCACCTTATATGCGGAAGGTCTGGGCAGTTGTTCCCAAGAAGGGACTCACTCCTGGAAACCGTTCCGAGATGAGATTTCGCACTCCCCAGAGAATAATATGGTAACCGATAATTCTAAATTTTACAGGAAAAATAGAAAACTATTTTTTGTGTATATCCCAGCTCGGGTGTATCCTAGCATAGTTATTTCTATGTCATAACAAATCTAATTTTTTTTACAGTTTATTTTCTTTTATGATATTTTTGTATTAGTTTTACTAAATAAAGTTATTGATGAAAATAATATTACTGAAATTGCAGGCCAAAAGTATAGTATGCAACGCATCATTACTACATTATTCGCGTGTAAACCCAACGATTTCGTAGTCGGTATTAATGCATTACCGTGTTATTCATTAAAATATGGTGTCAAAAAAGGTAACGGTAATATGATATTACGACTTTATTCGGATGAAATCCAAGCGATAGTGTATACAGTAATAGTACAATTACAGAATATTCGTTGATGTACGGTATCAAAAAATTGGTAGTAATGTAATTATGCAAATACATTCTATATAAAAACAAAAATAACAAATGAATATAATTGTTTTAATGTGCTTCTTACGCGAATTTAATGGTTATCATCACTTACGGAAAAAATTAACGATTGCATAATATGTACTAAGTTGTTATGGTATTTATTATTCGTGTAAAAAGGGTGTTTAGACATTAAGGGAATAATATTATTATGTTCATTACGGGGCCAATGAAATGAATGTTCTTTTATAAATATCCATAGAAATATTACAAAAAAAATTACAGGGTCTAATTATCGCTCTAAACACCAGATATGTAATAATAAAATGAAAACTACCGCAGCAGCATATTACCATATTATTTATTCGGTGGGAAGGGCATACTCACCCTATATGAGCGTACGTGGTATCAGAAGGTCCGGGTAACAGTTCCCATTTCCCAGGAAGGGACTCAACTCCTGTTTGCCTTAATGAGCTTTCGGTATTCTCAACAAACAAAATTGTGTTCGAGTAGTCACCATTCGAGGGAAAATCTTAACACCGCGATTCAGAAATAACGCCAAATGGGTCAATGCCATCTAGCGGATCCTTAGGGAACTAAAAGTGAACAATCTGGCTTAAGGCCGTCTAATACATAAAGTAGGTTTGTTACAATTCTGAAATAAAGCCACAGTATCCCTGCTGTTCGACCCAAGCAAAATTAACCGTATAAGTACGGGAAAAATTTTAATTCGAGCTGAGGTAGTATCGACTCTTAACACACGACTTGTTCGTCCTGTCACGTTCATCGCTTGATATCATAAAAAAATAATTAAACTGAAAGACAACAAAGTCTCATCGAAATAATAACTCCTTTACTATAAAAAAAGCAAATTCCCTTATGACTTATTTGCTTATGATTTCGTTTAAAGAGATATGTAGACGAGTTTCAACACCAGCTGTGTATTAATAGGTATTTTAATTTTTCCCGTGTCAGTGTTGCCCCATCATATTGCAAATCAAAAATTGTAATTGGAATTCTGTTATACTTAATATAAATTCGATTTTGAATTTTTAATCCTACCACGATAAATGGTTTTGTTTACGTAATGTTTTTCATATGAATTTGATAGTAACCTGCTTATTAGTCTGAATATAAAAAACGGATTCCAATCAAGTGGATTTTTATATTCTTTGACGAATTTTTAATTGAATCAATCACATATGATTAAATACATTATTTAAAATTGCTGTTGCAATTATTGTGCTTGATAGGATCAGACAGAAACAAGTTATCGTATGAACAACATATCATTTATTTCAATAACGAAACTTCCATTCCATAGTCATACGCCATATCTTGAAATGTGTCATGTGAATCCTTGATATATCCACAACATAAAATTGCAGTATCTAATTAAATTTTTATTGAATGTCAGAATGTTTCACCACATCAACACAGGTGATGAAAACATTTTGACATTCAACAAAAATTTAATTACAATTAAAAGTGACATCTGTAGCTAGGGCTGATAGCTATAAAGGTACCTAACTGGGTGACGAAATACTTTAATAGATTTCGCATAGATGGCGCTACGGCTAAAAACTTGTTGAAAATCAAATACAAAGATCCGACAACAAGCACATAGAAAAATTCGGGAGGTCCGCTGGTTCGTTCCGTGGCTTAGTTGGCATAGCGTTTAGCACGGTTTGCTAGGAGACGTCGGTTCGAATCTTTGTATTAATAATTATAATAAAATTACAGTTTTAGCAAATCGTTATCGAAGTTATAGGACCATTTTAAATCTGTTTAACTGTACTCCGTAACACTGGGTCCCTTCGACACAAAATGGCTGACCATAGTACGTCCAACCTCATCGAGCTCCTGCTGTCGACTGCTTGACGGCTACGCCAAACAGAGACTTCTTGATCTTGTACCAAAACTCATATACCAATAATTTATTTGTCCAGTTTTTCTAGTAGTATCTAACAAGGCCTTACTTTTCAGAAGGAATATCTCAACAAAATATCACCGACAAATTCTACACCTAAAGAAAAACGTCGAAAAACTAAGGCACCGGAAACTCTCCAAAAAAAAAGCGACGACACAGGCAGGAGTAAAGAAGATACGAGAAGTAAAGAAGACGCAAATGCTGGAAAAGAAAAGGAATTGTTTGAAAAGCAAGATGAAGTTGAAAATATGATTGTTGACAACACTATTGATTTGACGTTCGATTAACAAACGTGCAAGAAAATATTTGATTCAATAAATATTTGATAGTGTTTTTTTTTTCTTTTGTATATCTAATATAGATATACAAATTACGACCTTAAATTAAATTAATCATTTACAGTCAATAGCAATAACATGATAATCACTGATTGAACTAGCTCTAATATTCTGTGAATACCATCCATCATCAGTATCAACCCATTTATACGTCCCACTGCTGGGCACGGGTCTCCACTCAAGCGAGCGGATTTAAGCCATAGTTTGTCACGTTGGCTCAATGCGGGTTGGAGACTTACACGTTTTTCGTGAGTTATGCACCTTGTTCTTTTACGAACCAATCATTCTATGTACATTCACTCATTCCCTCTCTCTTCATTCTCTTCTTTTCACGACATATTTAGCTTTGCATGTTTTCATATAAATGAAATATAATAAATAAGTTCTGCATGCTAAAAGTATGTAGTGCTTTTATTTAGGAATGAACATTAATTGGTGCCGCGATAAACATAAAATACAAGAAATCAGCTCAGCCAAAGCTTAGAGAAAATCGAAACAGTTCGACCAATTTTTCTTTCAGCGTTCAACAGTCGCCATCGCCATTAATGTGACATTAATTTTATTTTCATTGACGTAACAAGCTAGGTTTGACATTTACGTTACGTTGGAAAGATGGGCAGCGATAGAAGAAAACAACTATTTTTTGTAACTTAATCCAAGATGAATATTTCTGAAATAAAGATGGTTCTAGTGGTGAGACGATCGCACAAGCGTTTTGGCAAAAGCCATCCTCCACTATGCATAATATATGATTACAAACTGGTGAAGCAGAGGAAAGGGGATGATAGTGCGCGTTTGACACACCTTCGACGTGCATGTTCCCTTCACCGAAAAGCTCATGGCAAATTTCAAATTAAATATCGCACATAAATTCCGAGAAACTCAGATGCCCGGACTCGAACCAGCGACCTGCTCGAGAGGGTAGGTCAAACTATTACCCACATGTGAACCTTGTACGTGGTGAATTTTATTGATATTTCTCTTTTTGTAAAGGTACGGGTACCGGGTACGGTACGGTATGGTACGGATAATTTTTACCAAGTTGCCAACGTCAAATCATTGATAGTAAACCGGTGCCTACAATAATGTGATATCTTACTTACGTAGCGCAATCCCTCTTATGCCTTTGCGGTATCGCCGCCCGCCGTAGGTACTTATGCAAGGGTTGTCACAAAATGGAAAAAATGTGATAATTATAATGTGTTTATTTTATTAACAAAAATAGATAAGTACTTAATAACGATTTACAGACATGGTGTTACACTGCCAAATATTTACGTGACACTTTTAGATGTTTTTAACCGACTTCAAAAAAAGGAGAAAGTTCTCAATTTGACTATATTTTTTTCTATACATGTTCCGCGATATCTCATCGACATTTGTAAACCGATATCGAGGATTCTTTTTTTGAGAGGGTATCTCAGTATTGATCCCATTTAAATGTAAAGAATATAGGTAGGTTATTATTATATATATAAAGATTATTATGTTCTATTATATACCATATTTATTCGAATTAACAATTAAATTATAAATTAATAGGGAACACATGACCGAGATTTAAATTTGACTTATACTCCCAATAGGTAAGTCAAATAATTCTATGAAATTTTAAATTTCTATCGAGTTGTTTGGTTTTCGCGATTGTTACACAGGATATAGAAATTATTTTTAAATCCCTATTGTAATTCGAAGTTGAATTACATCCGTACAGAGAACAGTTTGTGTGCACCGTGTAAAATACTAACAACCTCTCAGGACTATAATTACTAACATCATAAACAACAACTTTTGTTCCATGATTTTTAGTAATTCATCAGATTTTACTTTCGTACAAAAATAATAATATTTAATTAGATCGATCTAAACGGTGATAACTCTGCGTAAAACGCAGAACAAGGGTGGAGATCGTCGAATACTACCTTACCACCAAATACAGTTCTAAAAAGTGCCAGATAAGTCAACAAAAACATAAAAAAATATATTTGGTAACTACTATTGTTATGTAAAAAGTCGTGGGACAAAAGTTATTGTTTATGATGTTAGCAATGTTAGATTGTGTGATATGTGTGGGAGTGTGGGTAGAAAACGTAAGTTATGATAAAATGTAAGGTAGCAAGTAGAGGCTTTGTTTGGTTAATTAAACGCAGTATGACGTGTTTTATTTTGCTCGAGCATTAGGACTCCACCTGGTTCCCTAGACATATATTTTTCAGCGGCGATGAACAGAGTTCACGCGTGTACGTTAAAGAACAGTCCAGCGGGCCTATTGCGTAACTCAACTGACAGCTTATAATGATAATCACCGAATATAGTGCTCAACTACCTTGTGTCAAAAATGCATATTCGTAATTTCTATCTATGGTTAGCAACTGCGAAACGTCAATTTCAGTGATCATCACTTTAACTCGTTTTGACAGTTGATTTTGTATCGATAACCGTTATTTCTTATTCCGCAAGCACAAGTGCTTATGAAAGTGATCATCACCGAGTGAATAACATTAATTTATTTTGAGACCGATAGCAACTGCTAACGACTAGTGTTTTTTAGTGATTAACACTATAAATCGACCAAGTAAAATAGATTAAGCCAGTCTTACTAAGGCGCGCTTAAATAACGACGCCTAACATTTGTTTGGTTTTTTGTTTAGTTTTATTCTTTGATTTGTTACTTTGCTTCTTTAAGTAATATTCTTTGTAATTTGTGAATATAAGTAATGGCTCATGCTATTCTGTTGGCATATGCCGAAGATAGTAGAAAGCGAGCAGCCCTTAGGATAACAAAACGACAACTGCGGGCTTGTAGTGCTCCTACGCATTTGCCCGAAGAAGAGTTTATTTTCAACTTCAGGCTTTCCAAAAGTACTTTTAAGGAATTGGTGGAAGAACTAAGACCGCTGTTCGTAACGACTTAAAAGTAAGCTAGCTACACAGGTGTTGTGTAAAACCATTAAAATGGCAGTGGGAAAGATCAGACCCTTTGACATTGCATTAGTATTTTAAAAATAACCCTGTATATGTTGAAGTATTCAAAAAATTTTAAAGCGATCGATCCCGCAAACTAAACGTGTTAGTGGGAAACGGATCGCGGCGCCCGCTTCCCTGCAAACACCCCACTGTTGCTCTGCGCTCATTTGTTGGGCTAATGTAATGTAACGTTTGTAAAAAATACATGGTGTAAATGAGACGAGCAATGCAAGCGCAGGTTGACCGCGGCAACATGGGTGCCGACTCCGGGTAGCGGGAAGCCGGCCAACAAAAAACTCGTTATAACGAAACACAATTACCTACGGAGAGAGACTTGCATTGAGGCGTCATTGATGCTGAAATTTTTCACTAGTGTAACCTCATTTGTTTTTGTTTGAATGTTGTGAAAACAATTACCTCTGGTGTATTATTATGAAAAGGCATGTATTTAAATGATCCTTTTGAATTTGCAAAAGCAGCAGGCAAAAATTCTAAACGGTCATCTTTTTTAATGAAATGAAATGATTGATTTTTTTTTATAAAAAATAAGTGCGCATTTGACCTCCATCTCATCTGATGGAAAGTGACGATGAGGTCGAGGATGTAGTGTAGTCTAGGCTCTACTCTATGAGTAGAACTACTGGCTGAATGAATATAGATTTGTATTTAGAATGTGTTTAAAAAAACAGGATAAAAAAGAAGAACATCTTGGCAGATCTAGAAGTAGCCTCCATAAGTGAATATGTGAAAAATACAATAAATATCTAGTTATGAAGATAATCCCAGTTTATATTTATAAAGTACCTCTCGCTACGCGACCTGAGCTACCCCTTTTTTTTTTTTTTTTTTTTTTTTTTGACGGGGGGGAAAACCTGAGCTACCCCTAGGCTACAGTATCATGCACACCTAAATAATGCCTATTCACTCTCGCCTTGAAAAAGGTCCAAGGTCCAAAAAGTATAAAAAATAAAATAAAATAATAAAAAGTTCGGGGAACTAGTCTGCAGGCAGGGAATTCTACTCCCTAGCCGCTCGCCATACAAATGCGGAAGCGAACCGTTTCGTGTGAATCCGGGGAATATAGGTACACAACATGGGACATAAAATAAATTAAATCAATAGATATTTTAATTTGTTCTGAGTACTCAAAACTAAAACAAATGAGCATTAAAAATTAAATTTTGATACTTATTTTTAAAACTAAATAAATGTTTGATTATATTTTATAATAATATTATATTAATTATAGTATAATTTGACCTGAAAACATGTTTGGAAACGCAAGCAAATTGGTTTCTTTTTCATATACTAATCTAACTTATTAAATGGAGGGCGCAATTAAAAAAGCAAGATTTGTGATCAATATCAAACAACATACGATTAGAAATGTCATCAATCGTTAAAAGAAAAGACAAATAATATAAAAAGAGGATCAAATATTATTTTTGAATACCAAATATTACTTTAGTGCCTATGCTTAAACAGAATAATAGTGTTACCTTGAATGTAGTTTTTATAATTTATCCGTAAATCAACTAACATGGACGGAACAATTAATATTATATACTTATATTATACAAAAAATCGTTTATTTTAAAAAGTGCATATTTACAATAGATCAATTATATTTTTGAGGATCAAATAATGTTATCCTTAAGAAATTACAGTTTCTATAATTATATCTTAATCGTTTTAAAATATGAACTAATTTTTCACCCGTCACGCGTTCTAGAGCCACACGAAGTTTCTAACACATAGACCATTCTCCAAATGTTTTATTAAAAAATTATAAACATTTTTTTACCAAAATCGTTAGGGACACCGTGCATATCTTGGACACGTGACCAGTTAATTGAAATTGAATCATATTATGTGTTCATAATGAATGGTTAAATTTTAATTTTTATGAACAGTTGCCACGCTGGACTGCCACGCAGAGATCCCTGATCGATTCCCGGGCCGGGAGAAATATTTGCATGGCC